GCAAAACGTAGAAATAGGCCTATTCCACACATAGCAAGGGCACTTTCGTCATCTTCACTCTTCACTCCCGGATGCACCAGCCATGGCATCCTGACCTGAATCGTCTCGAGTTGTGGGCCTCGTGAATTGTGTCCGCGGTAAACTGAACGCACCCCGGTGTGCCAACATCTCCCCACCCCACCCTCTCCTACGACTTTCCACTTGAAATGAGGACTCTTGTCAAGTCTCTCCGGGAAGGGGGAACCAGGCAGGATTCATAACAAGATAGAAGATACGCAGAAAGACAATAATGTCACGGACTGACGTAGATATCAAAAGACAAGTTCATAATATATGAATTTCTGTTGGGAGTTTCACACGTAGGCCTAGGTCTGTACGTAACGTCGTTATGAACGGCCATTTCAGAAATGGAGTCAGGTGCTTTCACGGATATTGTGTACAAGGCTGCACGTTATAAACCTGTTGATCTCCCTATTGCCTTACTGAAACGTACAGCTAACGCGTGCTGAGGCATGATAATTATTATTATTATGCTTGATCTGTGAGATTCAAACTGCCTGAATGAAAGAAGACAGCAAACGAGGAATAGCCCTGCTGGTGAAAGAAACAAACTAAATAACAAAACGAAATGAAAGATTAAAAACAACCCCAGTTTCGCGTTTGTTTTGTCTCCCCGTACGATGCACCCGGATCTACCCAATTAAGGTAAGTGCGTTACCACCACTTTAAAAAACAAGTTTGATTGTATTCAAAATACCTGTGGTTCCCTCTCTGTCAAAAGGATTTACAACAACTACAACAAGTGTGCGTTAGACTGATCTTTATTACTGTCTGACTGGGTTTTCCCTTGACTGTCCCTTCTAACAGGAATAATAATATGACACCACGAACTGAACAGGTTGGGGGGATGGGAGAAGGGGGTAGGGGTTTTCTGGTGTTTATTATGCTGCTCAGTGTTAAGTTTTATTAGGCTTACGAACGAGAAGGAGAAGTCTGTGTTCTTATAAGCTGGACATCGAATGATATAATGACACAATCACACTGCACCTAAAGGTAAGAGACATCACTTTAATAATAATAATAATATAAATTCAACCAAGAAAAGATCGTCTCATTTTGTGATGAGAAAAGAACCTGGCCAATTTGATCTTTCTAGTTCTTTCTTTTTCACCTGTTTCACTGTAAATTAGGTTAACTGATCTGAAAAGATAAAAATAATCATGTGCATCACGGTTAAGTGCCAGATTAGAAGCAAACACTGAAGATCTTGGTAAGCCATTTTTTATTTCTCTGTTCTGATTTATTCCATTACCCCC